ACGCCAGGCGAATAAAGCTCTTGTCCCAGCGATCTTGTCTCCTTCTTCACGATTTGAAATTTGTTAGCTCAAATGTTTAAGCCACAAATAAGTCTGTGTTAGCGGGCGGGCTGAGAAGTTCGTGTCGGGTATTCACTTGACAACAGTGTATTTGGTTGTTGTTGTTGTTGTTGTTGTTTATGTGCGGTAGACAGCTACGAATGTAGCAGTGAGGGACTTCCAGATACGCAATATTGTCTGTAAGCTGTCACGACATACGTTTTGGATTCTGCTCTATTTTGTGAAAAGCTCACGCCGTGGAAGCATGGATTTTGCAAGTACGTACTTAGAACACCTCCATCAGTGCATACAAGGGAAAACTGAAAAATTGGTATAAATTCCATATGTTCACTGTAGAGAGAATACTTGTGAATAAACCTTGCTCGAAAACCTGCTGTTCTGTTTGTTGGCGGGCCGTGTGGGTTTGCTAAGCTCTGTCAGTCAATTTTACTCAATTTCTGCATCATGTAGCTGGCCAGCCACAGGGCTGGTGGCTGGATGCGGAAAGGTGGAGAAAGGCCCACTTTGAAGACTCTGTGTCAATGCTGCTTTATCTCATCTCGTCCATATAAACATTGTAACGTGCTTGCAATCCATCACTATGCGCTAAAAGCCGTGATATGAGAGGCTGCCAACTGGCGCGATGGCTCGGTTTTCTCAGGTGGGAGAATCAGGCTACACTGTCTTCTTCGGGCCGACGAGACCCGAGGCACTACTGCAGGTTTCTGTATAAGCCAGAAAAGCGTGACATGCACAGACCTTCTGCCTGTTTTTCTCTAGCCACTGCCCCTGATTGCACCTTCAGACACCCTCATCTAATCTTATTAACGCACCCAAGGGTGTAATGCAATAGTGGAAAACTCGGCGCAAGTCAGCCATCAACACAAAGTAACCCGCGAACAGTCGAAATCGCTACGTTCATCCCACTATAGAATTCGTTATCATGACGTCTTCTTCAAGTGCTTTCTAGAAGAAAGAATATATATAAGGACGGAAGGGCGCTCACCGATAGTGTTACAGAACTCACACGCCCTATTGTGCCTAAGGGTTCTCTCCTGAGCCCAACTAGCAGCCGCACAGCGGCGCGTAATACAGGCAACTTAGCATTATCAACAAAGACAAGGGGACTGACGGTCTTCATTTCACGCCCGATCCAGGCTCTGGTCTTCCTGCCTTTATTATGACACCGGCCACGGGCGAGTGGAGGATGAGAGACTGTGGTAGATTCAGTAAAAGTTTACTATCGTTATAAATTATTTCATGTGTAAGTCGCCGTACCTGAGCACAAGATGAACATCGTCACTCACAACGGTCGGACTGACGGGTTTCCTTAGGACTTACTTTTGCCTGTTCCTGCGATGGACCCTGGATGTATTCTCTTTTCGCGAATCAGCTGCGCTTGCCCCAAAGGGCTTGGCCACTTTCAATTGCACATCTTCAATCCAGAAACATTTCAAAAAAATTTTGTTTATTTAATCCCCATGTCTAATTTGAAGGAAAAAGAAATATGGTTTCGACGATTAAACGCGTGTAGTGCATATTTACTAATGAATATGCATTATAAGAAGAACGATTTGGGTTTTCGTGTAGAAGTGCCATGTATTAGTCATGTCTGATAGTAAAGTAATGTGGCAATACAGGTGTCTCCAGGCAGGTCACATTTCATCTAAACTGTGTTGAAAAATCTTTCTGATTCCCAATACTATCGCCTTACTGGACATTAATATGAACTGAAATATCCCAAATACTTTACATTGTAAACTGTTCTTGGTAAAAGGGACATTTATTTTGAATATGTCACCAGGTGGTTTCGAGGGAGACACCGCCTTCTTGAAGTCTGATGTGGAATCAATGCGTCATCAAAACGACTACGCCGGCAGTATCCATCCGCAACCTTTGGCTGATGGCGACGTCGTTTATGTTTCAAATGACTCTGGAGTTCATTCCCAACACGAGACTTCAAAGGATGACTTCATCGGAAGTGAAAGTCGAAATGGAGGAAATTCGGCAAAGCCTGACGAACTCATTGTCCGAAAATTGAAGTAAGTGTCACGTACATGGTTTTTTCTTGCCAGATCCCTTCCTCATTTGAGTGTTTCCATAGCAGTCTTATACAACTTTTTTGAAATCTTGTAGTTAAATTCCTGACGTTCCCTCAGCATAGTGCAGTTGACATAACCGCTCGTCCATGGTGGTGAAACATATTGTTGGCGGTAATGGATACCCGTACCATCATCTGTGCTAATCAGATAGGGAAACTCGAATTAATGTCCCACATATGTTCAAGGCGGCATTTCTTCAAAAACCGTTTAGTACACAAACTCTTCCAAAAATGAATGACCCCTGGTACTTTTTGCGATTAAACATGTCAATCATGGAGTTTGGCCAACAGGGACCAGTACGTGCAGAGCTTACGAATGCACAAAAAACACACTGAATGGCCAAGCTGGACGTGCGAGTAGTTGAAAATAATATTTCATTAAGTAATTTGCCAAACTCCGTCTCTTAAAATGCAAGTGAAATCGCAAAGCACTGTGGAAACTGCAAACTTAATGACTAATGTATACCGGGTCTAATTACTGACCGTCTATAGGCGGCTGAGAGAATATGTACCGAAAATTTACATCATGCTAGTTCTGCAAAATCCATCCTTCCCGTAGTCTTATCCAAAATTTAAAAGCGGACACAATCCGAGAAAACATATATACATAATTTATTTGGTATGCCCCAAAGAGTAAAGGAGCATAAGCATGCCTGCGGCGGTTGCTGTATTAGCGGCGATAAATCCGATTATCCTAAGTAAGAATTACGGGAGAATTTTCGGTCTGTGAAATTAGTTCTTCTGTTCTACTCCTGCTCACTTCCCCTATTCCGTCTTTCTTGACAAATTTCCGCCCAGTAATTCGCCAAAAGTTGATCGCACCATTGGGGAGAAACGAACTGGACGCAGCCGACGAGCAGTCACGTCCGTAAAAGAACACGTCTGGCCATTAGGAGTAATTCCTTATGAAATTGGACCACA